CTCTCTCTCTCTCTGACAAATAAATAAACAAAATCTTAAAAAAAAAAATAGGTCTTATGTTTGCTAGTTTTGCTTTATTATTTATTTTGGACTCAAAAGAATCCCTGGGAGAAGACAGAAATAAGAGACCTAGATTGAGTGCACAAAATAGAGAATAAAACATCTGTAGAAACTCAGAGCTTCAAAGAGTTCATCATTCCTTGGGTGTAGTCGGCTCGATGACGGGCTCGTTCCCCATGGGCAGGCAGCACGACTGGCCGTTTAAACATCTCCCCGCCTGGTGTTCAGATTCAATGCAAAATTCCTGGCAGGAGCCGTTTGGACGCTCACAGACCTCCTTGAATCTGCCCCCGGCTGCACAGGAGAGAGGGTTATTGTAGCTATTTAAGTCTCCCTGAAATTTTATGGAATTACCTGCTACGAGGAGTGTCTGGAAACAATCTTGGGTGGATTGTTGTTGTTATTTAATTTCTTAAACCAGTGCTTAAAAAATCTGTTTTCACTCAAAGTTTGGATTTGGGGCATTCTTGAAAAGCAGGCGCTGTTGGCTGCTTCTGAGTAACGAGAGCCTAGCCCTGGGCCACCCCGTCTCTTCAGAAGGTCTGTGGGGAGTGCGTGGATGCCACTCTTTCCTCCTCCCCATTTCCCGTCACTGACGGCCGAGACCGTCAGCGGAGAAGCAGTCTTGTGCTGCTGATCTTGTTAGAGGAATATATGTGCACGCGCATCTTTCAAAAGTAGGACCTAGAACATGGATCTGGAAGGAGCAGATACTGCAGGGAAATGTCAGTGAGGGTGTTTTCCCGGGGCGGGGGGGACAGCATGCCCACGTCCCTAGTGGTAGAGAGTGTCCCTGTGGGGTCACGAATACCCTTGTTAAAAACATCGAATAGTATTGGACTTGTGTTCTCTTACTGTTGTGGCGCTGAGCCACACAGTGAGGTGCTCGGGCTCAGACGGGGGGGCCCCCTCTGAGCTTTCTAGTTGTCTCCATAACAAAGGGCGCCTTTTCCAGGACAACTTCTTAAGCTCTTGGCTGACGTTAAGAGAGGTGCCCACACAGGCCACTTGTAGGTGTCTGTCCCATGAAACACAAAGGCCAGTCCTTGAAGGAGCTCAGATCAGTAAAGGGCATTTATATACACTCAGTAAATCCCTGTGGAAGGAATTGAGCTGAAATTCAAATGTATTTGGTTGAGTTTAACTCCTGAGTATTCACAAGGCAGTGAGCTAATTAATGGATGAGAAGATCAACATTGGATTTTTACTGAAAATGTGAACTGGGAAATAATTGTAAGAGTATGGGTTTTTTTTTTATTTTGGGGTTTTTAAAAAGATTTTATTATTTATTTACTTCGAGATCATGCGTGAGTGTGTGCGTGAGTGGCGGGCGGGGCAGGGGCAAAGGGAGAGAGGAAATCTCTAGCAGACTCTGTACTGAGTGCAGAGCCCAATGTGGGGCTTGAGCCCACGACCCTGAGCTGAAATCAAGAGTCAGACGCTCAACTGGCTCAGCCACCCAGGCGCCCAGTTTTCTGTTTTGAATCTGTCATCATACTAAGTGCTGAGCACTATGTGGAAACGAGCTGCAGTCTGAGCTTTTCATTTCCTAGACTGTGCCTCTCTTGCTTTTACCTATAACTCGGCTGCTGTCCGTAGACAGACCTCATTTCCCGTGGGCTGAAACCGGCCCCTTGCCACTGGGATCGGGGGGAGGAGGATATTGCAGCAGGCAAAGCGGTGACAGGAGCTGTCTCGTGAGATGAATCAGTCGTTCCTGGACTTCTTCCATTCCCTGATGGGCGGTGTCCCCTGAGGAGGAGCCCTTTGGGCACAGGAGTCGCAGCCTGTCCCCGCCTGTCCCCACCGGAACCCGGCCGAAGGCTTGGCATCCCGCAGATATCCGTGAGGGGGTCACGGATCAGAGCCGCTGCCCCTGGAACATGCCGGCGTAGAAGCTGGTTGTTCCCATGTCTTGGCGCTACGTGTGCGATCTTGCTGAGGTTGACTCCTGAGCATTACATTTTTCAGTCACAAGGAGCTTTGTAAAAGATGACGTGCTGTCACTCGTGTAAGGATCCAAGTCCCATTAAGGTCATTTTTAACTTGTTTTACTCTTTGCTAGTGAATCGTGTATCGCACAACGTGGTATCGAGCTCTTTGCTTCAGAGATAGAAGCTAGAGTCACAGGGACCACAAGAGAGGATCTGGCCTCACGAGTTTTCTCACAGATGAGGAAATGACGCCCAGGGAAAGGGAGCGACTTGTTCAAGCTCGCCTAATGCTGTGGTGGGGGGGGGGGGTTGCTGGCCAGACGTAAAACTTCTGTGGCCTCAGCCCCATCGTACTCCCTCTCTTGCTCCCGCTCTGAATCCCCCTCTCCTCTCCCGCTTCCAAAAGAAAAGCTTCAGTCCCGGGCAAGTGACACCTGAGGGCAGCAGGGGAGACCCACCCCCTCTGCGCCAACCTGTCCCGTAGCTCCTGCCTCCCAGCACGGGTGGCGGAAATGTCTTTGCCTCCGCTTTTCTCACCATCGCACTACGCGCCTTTCTTCTGGTTCAGTGACCGTGAAAACAGCAGCAACCCAGAATGAATTCGTTTTCAAAGTTCGGAAGACTCGGGTGAAAGCTGTGAGACTGGGTGAACGGGATTCATCTCTGGAGCAGGGACTTTCTTCCACCCAGCCACGTGGTTGGGGAGGATGACCGCTTGGTATGCACCCGTCAGACGCCTCCAGCAAAGCCACGTGGACACTCACCTGAGAGTTGACGTCACCAGCTTCGTGTGCTCCTGAGTTCCTGTCATGGGATTTGGCATCACTTTCGCCCTCTCTAGTCAGAGAAGGGAAGCAGCACGATGGACCCCAAGCGGGGAAGTGAGGGTCGCGCCCTGAGGGACAGAGGGCTCATTCCTCCAGCGAGGGGGAGACACTCGCTTTTCAGGGCCTGGACTTTTCCTCTCCAAAGCACGAGAACTAGACTAGATCATCAAGACCTTTTTGAATCTTATCAACAACCATGAACGATTCTATAGTGTCTGTACCTGTCACAGCTTTGGTGCTCATCGTGACATGGATAAATGTTCTTTTGCTTTGTTTAAAAAAACACTTCTGCATTTGTTTAAAAATTACGTAGGCTTCCCTTTAAGCAAGAGAAAGCATTTTTCAGTTAATTCATCATGTGGTCCGCGAGGCTCTTACGTATTAGCTCTTCCCAGTGGGCTGGGGTAGCTTAGCCCCAGCCCCGGGGGTATAGTTCCTGACTGTTGTTTACCCAGAACTCTCGTGAGGGTGGGTCAGTGGGTAGACTGCCCACATGCGCACACACAGAATATTCCCAGAGGAAAGATCCGGATGAAGGCCTCGGACAGACAGCCTCCAGCCCTCTCAGTACTGAATGCTTCCGTGACTTGCCTTCTGCAGCCTGCTCCTCCAGTCAGACCTTCCTAGGCTCTCGGCCTGCAGCACCAAACCTGTGTTGCTTTGGGCTTTTGTCTTTCTTTTGGTCACGTCTAGTCCTCACTTGGGAAATCTCTCCTACTTCCGTGCCAGGGCGCTCTTTCGGGGCTTGGTGGCCCTCCCCTGGGCAATAAGACACCAAACTTCCCAGGAGTCAGGCGCCATCTTAGCTTCCTTGTATGCCTGCTTCTTAGAAGGGGCGTCCCCTACCGGGGGTGCCTAACAGGGATCTGACCTGAACTGGTTTCCCACCCCCAGTCTTTCCACACCGGAAGCTCTCCCCCTCCTTCCTCCAGACTAGCTCTCCTGGAGCCAAGTTGTGTTTGCCTTGTAAGTTGCGCCCTCCCCTCAAGCCTGAAGGAGCCCAGCCCGTTAGCAGTAGGCGATCCTTTAAGACGCAGAGCTAGCTAGAAAAGTTGGGGCTCACCAGGAATAGGCATGCCTCCCGTTACGTTTTCTGGCGGAAATTTTGGGGAGCATCTTTTTGCGAACGACGTAAAGCATAACCGTCAGCAGTCCCTTCAGCTGTAACAGGACAGTCCGCCTCCACACACCTATGCCCGTCTTCCTGTCCCTTCCTCATCCTTGAGGCCCGGAATTCTCAGGAACTGGGAGAGGAAGACATTCCACTCGACGTAGAGCAGGAAGTTGCTTCTTCCTCCCTGAATCTAATGCCCGAGTTCTAGGAAATGGAATGACACATTTGGGGTGTCCAGTGCCTTCCTCGGGTGAAAGTGAGGAGGGCCCCCCATTACATGTCTGTGCAGGCCCCCTGACACCTGTGTGACCCATGCCTGCAGGCTGAGTGAAGGGGGACACACTCCCCTGCTGTATCATTTCTGATGCCTGTGGCTAAGTTCTGAGGCAGAAGACAACGTTAAAAAGAAGAAGAAAAACCAGGGGTTGGGATGGAGCCTCGAGGGCCAGAGTCAAGCGCGGGAGACCAGCAGTACAGAGGAGCAAAGGGTTGGACGCCTCTTAGCCTGGAGAAGGCCGTTCAAGGAGACCCCCTTGCCCATCCCTCTGCCGGGCCCCCCGGCTTTGTGGCTTTTATGGTTCCTGACTTTGGCTGCAAGTAAGCAGAGGGCTTTGGAAACCAAGGTTTACTAGAAGAATGCCCCATTTGGGGGTCCTCCAGATCTAGAAACTGCAGGTGAACTCGCCTAATTCAAATCTACTTCAGTGATGGAGCACAGAGGGTTTCGAGGACTTGAGACACCCCTGACTTCACGTCATCTGACAGAGCTGCTGGGGGCGCCAGGAGGCAGCGGGCTGCAGGTCCCGCCCCCGGGCCCCAGATTTCCTCGGAGCCCCCCGCTCCGGGGGCAGGTGGCAGCGATTTTGCCCCTAGGACTGGCGGACCCTTAAGGTCTCAGGCACTGGACTGTCAGCAAGGCTTCTGCGAAGTCCCTTTACCTGGCAGCACTCGGCTCACGAAGAGCGCGGCGACGAGGAGGGCCGCGGGCCGCCCGGCCGGCGGGAGAAGGCTCGGCCGCATTTCCGAGAGGCAGCGAGCACTTCCGTCTGCGGCTGTCTGGGGCGGCGGCGTGTGTCTGTCTGTCTGGGCGAGAAGCGCCCTTCCGTACCTCATTAGCCACACTCGTGGGCGGAGGGGTGCGGTGCACACGCGGGGGCCTTCGTGGGAAAACCGGGAATCCTCGTCTTGTCGGACGCTCCGTTCCTGAGGAGGCGGTGGCGCCGCGTTCTGCCCGGGAGAGCTCGTCGCATGGGAACGGAAGCTGCAGTCGCGTTGGCCGCAGATCAAAGGGCCCGAGCAGCCCGTCCGGGGTCAGTCACAGTGAGAAACCGGTCGCCGAGTCCGTGACCGACTGAAACCGGAGAGCCCGCTCCGCGGGGGTGAACTCGCTCCTGGTCCGAGAGCCCTCAGGGCTCCGCTCCGCCGCCGCGGTCCGGCCCGCGTGCGCCCTGCCCAGAGCGCCCCCTACCGCCCGCGCGAGGGTGCGCTCGTCCTCCGCCGGGACCACGCCTCGCTGCTCCAGCAGGCATCACGCGGGCACGCACTTTCCAGCCCTCCCGGTGGAGGCGAACAGGCAGAGCAGTGAAGTGCCACGGACCGTGGGGGCACGAGGTCTGGGTTTAGGTGCCGCGTCTCCGGACCAGCGCTGGACTCGAGGCGGGGACCTCGGCAGGAGGACGGTCGTCCTTGGATGTCACCGGCGCCTACAGCGATGCGCTCTGTGGAAGCCAGACCGGGGGCTCTTAGTCACTGTCGCGCGTGAAGCCAACGGGGAGGGGGGCTTGCTCGTGCCGACGTTCAGACCCACTCCCAGCGTTTTCAGTTTGGTGCGGGGGCGCGGAGCCTGCAGGTCGGCTTTAACCAGTTGCCCCAGTGATTATTCTGAAACCTCTTCTGGAATTCTCACCGGAAGGTATCAATGCAGATCGTCCCTCAGATCCTTTCTAGTTCGAATGTCAGAGAAGCCGAAGTTCTCTTGTCTTGGTGTTCGTCTCGCGTTCGGCGCTCGTGACTGACAGCGACGTGCGTGTGCACGCGTGTGTGCAGTGCGGAAGGGCGAAGCACACATCTCAATCCGTGCAAAATGAAATGCCGGTTTATAACAACGCTCAGAATCCGGCCTGGGGGGCTACTAGATTGCCAGGGGCGGCGATTTGGAGGAAGGCCGCCGCAGGAGCAGGGGCCAGACGAGACTCCAGACCGAGACCGCGTGAGTGTACAGCGGGGAGGGCGAGCAGTGCGCGGAGAACTTCAGTCCCACAGTGACGTGTGTGGAGAGACGGCGTGCAGGAAGCGTGAGCGTATTCCCCCGGAGGGCCCACCTGACGGGCGACGCCGTGCAGAGATCTGGAATAGCGAGTTGGCTGCAGGCCAGCCGCCAGCCTGGCTCTTCCCGAGCTCCCCGCCAGCCTCCGCGCGGTGTCCGGCTTCCCTCGGGACCGAGGGCGCGAGTGCGCGCCAGCAGCGGGGTGCAGCCGGGGCCGCGGGGCGTGAGTTCTCAGGGGTCGTGGGAAAGGTCATAGCTGCGGGCCTGGGTGACTGGGACCCTCACTCGGTGGAACGAGCTTATGTTCGCCAAAGACACTGGAGTCCGTGGCGGTGTGTGCTTGGTGAGGGAGTGAGGCCTCCTGTGAGGGAGCCGTCGGGAAAGCCGGTCCTGCCCACGCGGTAGGCCAGGCCCGCAGATCCCGGGCTCCTGGCTCTCCAGCGCAGCGCCCGCATCTCTGCGACGGGCGCGGAAGCACAGGACACTTCCAGAGGCTCGCGCGGGCTTTATAAGCCAGCCCTGTGCATCTCGTTCAGAGATACGGGTCCTGGGGTCCTGAGGACAGAACATTCTGGGAGGGCTCAGATGAGTGGGAAACTGTCCAGGCTTCTAGTCAAGAGCCCTTCCTCGGCCCCCAGGTTGACCTGGAACATACTCTCTCCACCAAAACTCCTGAAACTGGTTAAGTTTCCTGAAAGGTTTAAGTTTCTCTGCAGACAGGGACCTTAGAGAAAGCCTCCCTGTCCACTCTCCACCTCTGGGAACGTCTGTAAGAACCTCTGAGGGCCCAGAACCACGCATGCCGGTCTACAGGCGAAAGCAGGACATCTCCGCCCTGTCAGAGCCAGTACAGTTCGGGGGCGGAGGAACCATCCTGATTGCATGGTCGGTGTAAGCAGCATCTGGGACCCTCCTGAGACTTGGGGGACTTTTCTAAATCACCAGAGGGAGGCCAGAACCACTGGTCCCTGCTTGGAATGGGGGGGAGGGTGTTCTGAGCCCACCAGAGCTTCCTCAAAATGTTCTAGGCCAGTTTGCATTCTGGAAGCTGCCATTCCTGACAAAGGAAGCACATGGAGGGCATCCTGTGATGCTGGAGTTTCTGGGGATGGTCTGTGTTTCCATAAATGCACAACGAAGGCTTTAGCTGTTCTGAAAGGTATGGGGCGGGGGGAGCGACAGGCCATCAGAGCAATGACTGAATTTTCTAAATTTTCTAAGGACCATTCTTCTATACATAGCTGTCCAATTTTCCCAGCACCATCTATTGAAGAGAATGTCTTTTTTCCACTGTATATTTTTTCCTGCTTTTTCAAAGATTATTTGACCATAGAGTTGAGGGTCCATATCTGGGCTCTCTACTCTGTTCCACTGGTCTATGTGTCTGTTTTTGTGCCAGTACCATGTGCTGTGTTGGTGATCACAGCTTTGTAGTAAAGCTTGAAGTCAGGCAAGGTGATGCCCCCAGTTTTGTTTTTCTTTTTCAACATTTCCTTAGCAATTCTGGGTCTTTTCTGGTGTCATACAAGTTTTAGGATTGTTTGTTCCAGCTCTTTGAAAAATGCCAGTGGTATTTTGATCGGGATGGTGTTGAAAGCATAGGTTGCTCTGGGCAGTACAGACATTTTAACAATGTTTATTCTTCCGATCCATGAGCATGAGATGTTTCTTCCATCTTTTTGTGTCTTCTTCCATTTCTTTCATAAGTGTTCTGTGGTTTCTAGATCCTTTACCTCTTTGGTTAGGTTATTCCAAGGTATCTTATGGTTTTTGGTGCTATTGTAAATGAAATCAATTCCCTAATTTCTCTTTCTTCTGTCTCAGTGTTAGTGTATAAGAAAGGAACTAATTTCTGTACATTGATTTTATATCCTGCCACATTACTGAACTGCTGTGTGAGTTCTAGTAGTTTGGTGGAGTCTTTTGGATCATGTCATCTGCTGAGAGAGAGTTTGACTTCTTCTTTGCCAATAATTCTTTTATTGTCTGTTTGCTGATGCTCAGACTTCTATACTATATCCAACAGTAGGGACGAGAGAACTATGAGAAATAACATCAAAACTAATGATGTACTGTTTGGTGACTAACATAACAATAATTTTAAAAAGCTGAAATTCAAACTTAAAAAAAAATTTCCAAGGTCCTGGAGGAACCACGGCTGCCCATGTCACTCCACGCCCCTGCTGGTGAGGAAACAAGAAGATCACCGCTCGGACAGACAGACCCAGGCCTGTATGTCCTGACCACGAGGGGCCTGGAAAGAGTAGCCGGCAGAAGGGCAAGAAGACAGAAAGGGCTGAGGTAGTGCTGGGTCTGAAAGTTCCACGAGGACAGTCTTCTGCGTGCAGTGGGGGACAGCCGTGGCCCGGAGCCCTGCCTTCCTGCTGGGGGGGGGGGTTGCCCACCCAGCCGCTGGTCTAGTCAGGGAAAGCGGCAGTGAGTGTCCTGTGGCGGCCAGGATTAGAGTGCTTCAACCTCTCCACGATATTCTCCTCCTTCAGATGTCCTTGCACAGGTGTCTCTGCTCCCCACGCCCCCGGGACCCCCACCCTTGTCCTCCGTGGCTCGCGTTCGCAATCATGGCCTGCAGGACACGGTGCGGTCTCCGACCGCAATGCAGCGTGCCGCATCAGTGCCTTGACCTTCCCTCAGAGCAGTGTGTGCACTAAGCTCCTCCCCCTTAGTTGAGTGTTACTGTAATTACAAGGATCACAAGTATTTGTTATTTTGTTCATTAGCAGGATAGTTCCGCTGGTTATTCATCGTTAACTCCTGCACTTAGCATTCTAGCCGGGGCTCCCAAACAGAAAGGAGTGACCAGACCCACACCACTTCCTCCAGGTCTCAGACCGAGCCGCAGCTCTACATCAGGTCTCACGTCCTGTCTTCCCTTCTGCCATCCAGTTTTCCCGAGCTCCATTATGTTCGCCGTGTCTCCATACCATGATTTCACCAAAGCCTGCTGGGTATTGTCCTCGGTACTTCCCTACTAGCAGGGGGGCAAAACGGGCCGGCACCTGGGGTTCCAGGGCTTCTAGAGAGGGCTTAGAAGATTCGGAGTTTTCTTGGACTGGCAGAGAGCCCTCTCCGGGACTTGTAGTCAAGCTCCGGCCTTGCACACCTGAGGTACCTAGGAAATTTTCAGAGGTTTATGCAGTCCTACAACATAAATGCATATAGTTGTGGTTCCTAGAGCTCAAAAATGAACTTGGAAAACTTGCAGAGTCTCTGGAAGAGGGTGAAGAATTCTGCTGCCAATCCGAGAGAAAGGAGCAGTTCCACTGCCCGAAAGACAGTCCTGCATAAAGTTCTTGTGTTAGAGGAGCACGTGGATAAATACTACTAAACCAAACAAATATGCCTCAGACCAGTGGAAACTCCTCTAGACCAATACTGGCCGAAGCTTGAATCCAGCCAGGGAAAACAGAATTCCCCCTGCCTTTCAGTGCTGTCGTGATTCCCTAGTCAAAATACAGAACATGTCTGTAGAACCATTCAGGCAGGGTCGTCCCCGCTCGGGCGGCAGTGCACGTTGGCAAAGCCCCATGCCTGGGAGAGTGCCAGGGGTAACAAGGAATGGCAAGAAGGTAGGAGGTCTCTTGGTGTATCCCAGTCAACAAGTGTTGACACACGAGCACACCTGCACACACACAGTCACTCGCGGATGAAGAAATGAGGGCAGAAAGTTTGTGCACACTGGTGCCAGTAGGTAGTGGAGACAACGTTCCGGACTGAATTCATATGTAGGAAGTATTTTGTGACATGGCGGAGTCTAGACATGTGTGGAGTCTGTCTTTCTGCATGTGCGCATGGGACATCGGACTCAGTGTGCATCTGTGTACACTGGGCTTTGGGGTGTAGGTTCCTACTGCAAGATTTGCGGAGAGGTTTGGGTCTGTTGCGGTCTGAGGACTTGCCAGTTGTGCTGTTTGGAAAGTCAGCTGATGCTGGGCATGGGGTGTTTCTGTTTTTGCAATATGGGAGCCATGTTCAGTGACTTAGAAGAACCGAGTGTGGAAGTGTTTGCATGATATGGGGGGGTACGGGGGCTTGTTTTCACATTTCCTGTGCTGGTATTAAGTGCTGTCAGTGTAAGTTCCATCTTTGGCAGGTCGTCAAAGCGAATTCAGTGGTGTGTTTTTAAGGGGCAGTGTGCTGGGCCATCTACATAGCTTTTGGTGCATTTATTATACACTTTGTGGCTCACCGCGGGGGGTTGTGTTTGTGCAGGGTAAGTGTGTGCAGCTGGAACTGCAGGCATGTGTGCACATTGCCTGGCCTTGGTCAGATTTGGGATTTTGTATTTGGAGGCAATTTTATTTAATATGCATTCAGAAATGAGGGAGAATGTCATTGTGTTCTATATGAAGACGGTATTTGAATCCATAGATTTTTGTGGTTAGAAAGGGTGTAGGTAAATGTTGTATTCAAAAATTAGGAGCAAGAGACCCTCTGCTTTAATAATGGTTTTTATGGATCTGTAAATGAGTCAGGAATAATTTTTTCCTGTGTTCTGAGCTACATAGTATTAAGATCTTATAAAGTTTTCCTAATTGCCACTAGCAAAAAAGTTACCTGCCGCCTTTCACTAAATAGCAGAGATGATTACTGAGGGCTCCCCCCTGACATACACAGCCAGCATCCCAGTCGGCGCTCATGCTGGCATCAGGCCATCAGAGTGACCATCTTCAAAGTGCCATCCTACAGGCATTATGATTATGTAGAGCTGTGTCAGCTCCTCAAAATGGGACTCATTCTTTAGTGAAGGCATTTTTATAAGGAATGCCTGGAAAATATTTTTTCATTGTAATAATAATGTAAAGAAAATATAGATAGAAGTAATTATACTTCAGTGCACTCCTTTTCACTCCTCAGCTTTCACGGGACCTAATTCTCAGCCAGGCAGAGAGATTCAGAGATGTGGGCAGACCCTAGTCTACTAAGACACCCTCTTATGGGCTTGGCTTTTCATAGGGAACTTCCAAACAAGGCACATCCTGTGAGCACCCACGTCATCACTTCGGTCAACCTCCAGCCTCCCGCAGCATTCTATGTGTGAACCAGAGCACAGATTTGATGGAGAAGGTGTCTTGGAGGCGGGATAGTTCACACCGGCAGAACTGCATCACTTGACTTCTTTGTAGAGAGCGGGAGATGAAGGAGGACTGAATGGGGGAGAGGCTCAGGTAGTTGGATTCCCTGACTCCAGGTCATACACAGCCCTCCTTTATCTGGGTCCAGTCCCACAGATCTGAGACCAGTGAGTGAGCTCAGGTGAAGTGATCTCTGCCCTGGTGGCCTGGAGACCCCGTGGGCAGGGCTCCCCTGACTCCCTCCATGAACCCCCATGTTTATTGTTCCCCTAAGAGAATATTATCCTTCCAGAACTTAAATCCATTGAGTCCAGGTATTTAATATTTTCTAAAAAATGTAAAAATTGGAGAAATTTGTGTTAGGTTTTGGGAAAACCAGAAGAGTTTTTCTTTGGGAAGCGTCTTTGAGAAATTTCTGCAGCTAGAATAGCTCAGATTTAGTTTTGCCACATTCCCTCTGGCATGAACCTCAGAATTTACAGTAATAGAAAAGGAGACTTTCCACTCACGTATTTCACAATTAATATTTATTAAGGGTATAAATGAGGCGACTGAAATCTGAAAATCCAGTTTTATCGTGCTTTTTAATGTCAGAGGACAGACATTTCAATAAGATGTATATGAAAAGAGGGGTGCCTGGGTGGCTCAGTCCTTAAGCGTCTGCCTTCAGCTCGGGTCATGACCCCGGGGTCCTGGGATGGAGCCCCGCACAGGGCTCCCCGCTCAGCGGGAAGCCTGCTTCTCCTCCCACTCCCCCCAGCTTGTGTTCCCTCTCTCCCTGTGTCTCTCTCTGTCAAATAAATAAAATCTTAAAAAAAAAAAAAAGAATAAAAAACGAATACTTGTCCACACTTCACACAGAACATTTAGAAATAGAAAAAAGCATAGGTCAAAACATCTGCTTTCTCAAAATTAAAAATGCTGTTTTGAGTAACTCCGGAATAAAGATAAAAATGTGAAATGTAGTAACTCGGGCAACTTGCTGGTGAAATGTAGTAACTCGGGCAACTTGCTGGATGTCACGCACATTTGTCTCAAAGGTAAGTGAACTTTACCTCTTCTCCAGACGTGGGCAGTCACACCAGTGCCTCGGCCGTCCGTGCTCACTCACAGTCCTGGGCTCGCGAAGTCCTCCTGCCGCCCCGCGAGCCGGAGAACACATGGAAGCCTCCTCCCGCGGCTGTCACGGTGCAAGGTCACATTCCGCACGGGCGAGCTCGGCGTTCACACCTGTCCCACCGAAGAGAAAGAGACATTTACCAGGTGCAGCTGCGGACGTCCCTGCCCCGCACACCGCCTGCATCTCCAAGCACAGAGGCCCCGCGCCCGGGCCGCCCTCCGAGCCCGCGGCAGCCGCGGGCACGCACGGTTTACTCACACCGGTCTCAACCTGCTGAGAAGGAACTAGCGCCGCACTCCACGCCGGCGCCAAGCTTCACCTGAGAGCCTGACTCAATCATCCGAAGCAGAGCGGGGCACTGCACCTCAGGATGCCCTACACGCTCACCGCGGAGCAAAAGCGCGGCCCGTGGGCGGAAGTACGTGCGGACCGGAAACGCCTTAGGGGCGGGGCGGAGGCACGCGCACGCCCCGCCCCGCCCCACCCGCGCCTGCCGTTTCCGTCTCACCCGGAAGCAGATTTCCCGGATGGAAGGGTGTCTTAGCTGGAGTGAGCTTCAGCATTTCTGGTTGCAGCTCCCACGTTGATGCCCCCGGCGTTGCGTCCTTCTCACCCGGAGCCCTGCGCCTCCCGAACCTTACAGCATCCCCCTCCGCCCGCCTCGCCTGCGGGGAGCCCCGCCCGGTCGCGGGACGCGTGCTGCTGGTCTGGATCCGCGCCTTTTCCTCCGGGTAGGCTGGCTCCCACGCCGTCCGCGCCTCAACTTTTCTACCTCTGTTCTTTTCACTGTCTCCCCTCCGCACCCCGCGCGTGTCAGGTCCCCACTCGCGACGTGGGTTCTCGCCCTTTGCGGCACCAGGGCGCTTCGCCCTCCTGCGGCCGAATCCTGTGGACCCGGTCCTGAGTTCTCACCTTCCTCGCATCGTCCCGAGGCCGGCCCGGCTGCTTCTCGGGCCCCACCACAGTCACCTCCTCGGACCGACCCCGTGCTGGGGCGCTCACCCGCCCCGTCCTCTGACACCCCTTGTTCTGTCCCATCCGCTCCCACTGGCTGTGCCACCAGAAAGTGTGGTTTCCCTGGGCAGGGGGTAAGGGGGAAAGAGAGAGGCCAGGGAGAACCGGGGAAACAGAGCCAAGGAGAGAGACGAGAAAAAGCAGGGGTAAAATTGAGGATAGAGAAGTGGGTCGGATGGGCTTAGACCAAATAAGAATGAGAGACCATGACCCGGGCTAGAAGCAGTGGAGTAAAAGAAGATAGTGAAAAAGGATGAGCGGAGAGGCGACAGAGTACAGAATGGGGGCGGGGGCGTCTAGCAACAGTAGCAATGGAGGCAAAAGAAGGGTAGATCCCAAATTCGGTAGAGTTTTGTTTTTAATTTTTAACTTATGTGTTCTTTTAAATGTACTATGTCAGATTCATATGACGAAATCTCAGTAGTTTTACAGTCTGTTAATACTGAAAATATTCTTTGGTGCTTAGTAAGTGATTGTACACTATTTCAGTGTGGTCTTGGTAAAAATGTTGGTAATTTTTTTATGTTAACAAACTTCAGTTAATCAGTCTAATATTCCACATCTTCTTTCTCCCTTTAGGTAATCTTTTATTGTAGTGGGCTGTGAACTAGTTACTAGTTAAGTATGTTTGTTCCCTTTGCCCTGTTTCTGGAAATGGTCAAGGCTGAGCTGAATTGTTGTGGAACGTTGTTGAAAGAGCGCCCATCTGTTCATAATTGAATAAATTTCTCAGCTGTTTCCATTACTGACCTCCTTTCATATTTTCCAGTGCTACTAATTAGGTCTCCTTAATTTCATATATTTTAATAGTTTAGTGGGATGTTTTGGAAAAGAGGAATTAAATATTTGAGATTGTGAGTAAAACCATGACAGAGAAGCGGCTCTTGCTCAGTAGTATGAGATACATGATCTGAAATTTTGGGGGTAGGGATGTGAAAGGCAAACCCTGCCACACTATCCCATCCAGGCCATGTTATTCCTGTGAGGACAGTGCTGTTCCTCTCCACTGGCTTCTCTTACTGACCTCTTCACCTGCCTCAGTACACATATGGGAATCACAAGATAGGTTGACAGGAAAGGGTCCAGACTTTTTAAGCCAAGCATAGAAGAAAAATCTCTCTCCACGGAGGAGGGAGGCGGAAGTGCGTTGACTGTGTGCGGGGAGCCTGGAGGGGGAATAAGGGTGGTGTTTGGGGCTTAGGGATCCAGGAATGATAGAGATGAGAAGCTCAGGAGCAGGAGAAATGGAAGCATGTGCTCTGACCTTGAGCTCAGCAGGTACTAGCAGGCCCAGGGTCTGTGTCTTCAAGGGACAGTCAGCGCATGTGTGGGCTCACTCAGACAGGAGAGTGTTCTGAAGAAATAGGTCCCCAGTGTTTGAGTGAACAGCAGAGACTGTCTTTGCCACAGAGCGAATTCCTCCTTGTGTGTGGCGGCGGTACAGCGAAGTGTTATGTTGACTGGAAGCCCTAAGAGTCATCTCCACACTCAGGAGTGACTTCTTAAGACTCATCTTGCCTGAGAAAGAAAATTTTCTTGTGTCTTTTTAAATTTCTTGATTTGACTTTAAAAACTGTTTAATTGATTTCTATCAGTTTTTCCTTGTTTCATTTAATCTTTTAATCTTTCTTTTAACTTTTACTAATTATCTTTGTAAAATTTGAAATGTCAGTTTACTCTTATTTTCTCTTAGTTTTGTAAAGTTGAACAATTGGTTCATTCATTTTCAAGTCCTCTCTAGTAAGTATACTTAAAATTTATACATTTTTTCTTCTTGTAAAAAAAAGACTTATTTATTTAAGAGGGCACGCACCCACTCCGGTTGCCAGGGTTGGGGGTGGCGGGCAGGGCAGAGGGAGAGAAAATCTCAAGCACACTGCACTCTGAGTGCAGAGCCTGATGTCGGGCTCAATCTCATGACCCTGAAATCATGACCTGAGCTGAAATGAAGAGTCAGATGCTTAACTGACTGAGCCACCCTGGGAGGTGCCCCTAAAGTTTATACATGTTTTCAAGGAAATAACCGTGGCCTTAGCCCATGGTTTGACGTTTTTCAGGAGGCTCAGACAGTCTTAGGACATCCTTGCTGAGTCTCCCCTATCAGCACAGACCTGTCAGCACAGGACTTTTAACACTCAGGAGTCTCATCTATGAATTAATGTCAGCAGGAATGATGTCCATGAACTAATGAGGACCAAAAACTGGAGTGGGATGAGATAATGTGAGATGAGAAGTGCTTGATGAATGGGCCCCACTTCCTGGTGGATTCAAGGACACAGGAGGGCAACAGCTGGACACAACAGCAGCCCAGAAACTTTTTAATTCAAATTTCAGATTGGATGATACCTAACATTTAAGTGCTAAGAGGATCTATCAAGTAGGGAGTAAAGTTATTAGTTTATAAGCAATAACATAAAATTCATGATATGACAGGAAATAACAGGACCCAAACATAAAGTTAGAGATAAAAAACCTGAGATTAAAAGTAATTCTTTTAATGGTTGAAAGCATCTGCCTCTAAAATTACCTACGTCATGTGTGAAGTAAGTTACCAATCATCTGATGAACGAAAGAGGAAAGACAAATCTATGGAAACTAATATGTCCTAGCAAAAGTTTGAAATAGCATTTATTTTACATGGGAGTTGGAATTAACATGCAAGACCTAATAGGATTGCCAGATATTTTTGAGAAATGACCAAAATAACCTGAGATACAGTGGATATTTATTGTGCTCCTTACTGGAACTATTTTTTTGTAGAAGATTTTTTTTTTTTAAGCCAGAAGATTTTATCTCTGCAGCAGTAGAAATGCCACTTAAATGTATAATTCAGTTGTGAATGAGATACTGAATAAACTATTAACTACACTGTGTTGTGTATTAACATTTCACTTCCCATTAGCCAAAAAATAAAGTATAAGGTGGGTTTCCCATTTTAATAAAGGAGCTAATAAATTTTTTTAATTTAAATTTTAGGTAGTCAACCTACTGTGCTATATTGGTTTCTGGAGTGGAATTCAGTGATTCATCACTTACACAGAATATCCACTGCTCATCATAACCATGTGCCCTCCTTAATACCCATTACCCACTTAGCCCATCCCCCACCCACCTGCCTCCATCAGCCCTGTTTGTTCTCTGTTGTTGAGTCTCATGGCTTGTTTCCCTCTGTCCTATTTTTCCTTTCTCCCTTCCCATATTTTCTTCTCTTTACCTTCTTAACTTCCATATAGGAGTGAGATAATATGGTATTTGTCTTTCTCTGACTGACTTATTTCACTTAGCTTAATACACTCTAGTTCCACCCACCTTGTTTCAAGTGGCAAGAGTTCATTTTTTTGATGGCTGAGCAGTATTCCACTGCGTATTTATACACACTACATCTTTATCCACTCACCAGGTGATGGACATTTGGGCTCTCTCCATAGTTTGTCTGTTGTGGATAATGCTGCTATAAAACATTGGGGTACATGTCCCCCTTTGAATCTGTGTTTTTGTATCCTTTGGGTAAATACCTAGTACTGCAGTTGCTGGATGGTGAGGTGGTTCTATTTTTAACTCTTTGAAGAAACTCCATGCTGATCTCCAGAGTGGCTGGCTGTACCATTTGGCATTCCTGCCAGCAGTGCAAGAGGGCTCCCTTTTTGCCACATCCCTGCCAACACCTGTTGGTTCTTGTCTTAATTTTAGCTATTCTGAACAGGTATGGGGTGGTATCTCATTATGGTTTAGATTTGTATTTCCCTGATGGTGAGTGATGTTGAACATCTTTTCATGTGTCTTTTAGCCATTTTGGATATCTTCTTTTGATAAGTGTCTATTCATGTTTTCTTCCCATTTCTTAACTTGGTTATTTGTTTTTTGGGTGTTTGATACAGTCTTTGTAGATTTTGGATACTACTCCTTTATCCTATGTGTTCTTTGCAAATATCTTCTCCCATTCATAGGCTGCGTTTTAGTTTTGTTGATTGTTTCCTTCACTCTGGAGAAGCTTTTTATCCCGATGAAGTCCCAATAGTTCATTTTTGCCTTTGTTTCTCTTGCCTTTGGAGAAGTGTCTAGCAAGAAGTTGTGGTGGCCAAGGTCGAGGAGGTTTCTGCTTGTGTTCTTCTCTAGGATTTTGATGGATCCCTATCTCACCATTAGGTCTTTCATCCATTTGGAGTTTATCTTTGTGTGTGGTGTAAGAAAATGGTCCAGTTTCATTCTTCTACATTTAATTGACCTGAGGGTTGAGGGTCCATCTCTGGGTTTTCTATTCTGTTCCACTGATCTATGTGCCTGTTTCTGTGCCAGTACCATACTGTCTTGATGATGACAGCTTTGTAATAAAGCTTGAAGTCAGGCATTGTGATGGCACCAGCCTTGGTTTTCTTTTTCAACATTTCTCTGGCTGTTCGGGGCCTTTTTGGTTTCCATACAAGTTTTAGGATTATTTGTTCCAGCTCTGAGAAATATCGATGGTATTTGTTTTTTTTTAAGATTTTATTTATTTGACAAACAGAGATCACAAGTAGGCAGAGAGGCAGGCAGAGAGAGGGGGGAAGCAGGCTCCCCGCTGAGCAGAGAGCCTGATGTAGGGCTCGATTTCAGGACCCTAGGATTAGGACCTGCGCCAAAGGCAGAGGATTAACCCACTGAGCCACCCAGGTGCCCCCGATGGTATTTTGATAGGGATGGCATTGAGTGTGTAGATTGCTCTGGGTAGCATAGGCATTTTAACAAGTATTTTTTCTTCCAGTCCATGAGCCTGGAATGTTCTTCCATTTCTTTGTGTCTTTCTCAATTTCTTTCATAAGTTTTCTGTAGTTTTGGTTAGGTCTATTCCTAGTTACATTATGGTTTTCGGTGCTATTGTAAATGGTATTGATTCCTTAATTTCTCATTCTTTTGTCTCATTGTTAGTGTATAGAAGTCCAACTGATTTCTGTGCATTGATTTTATAGCCTGCCATGTTGCTGAATTGCTGTATGAGTTCTAGCATTTTGAGGGTGGAGTCTTTTGGGTTTTCCACATAAAGTATCATTTCATCTGTGAAGACAGAGAGCTTGACTTCTTTGGCAATCTGAATGCCTTTTATTCCTTTTTGTTTTCTGATTGCTGAAGCTAGGACTTCTAATGCTATGTTAAACAACAGTGGGGAGAGTGGTATTCTTGACCTTGGGGGAAAAGCTCTCAGCTCTTCCCCATTGAGAATGATATTCACGGTGGGCTTCTTATATATGGCTTTTATGATATTGAGGTATGTTCCCTCTATCCCTGCCCTGTGGACAGTTCTAATCAAGAAAGGATGCTGCGCTCTGTCACATGCTTTTTCTGTATCTATTGAGAGGATCATGTGGTTCTTGTCCTTTCTTTTATTAATGTATTATTTCACATTGATTGATTTGTGAATGTTGAACCCCCTTGCAGCCCAGGAGTAAGTCCCACTTTGGTTGTGGTGAATAATCCTTTTAATGTTGGATCCTACTGGTTAATGTCTTGGTTGATTTTTGACATCCATGTTCATCAGGGATATTGGTCTGTAAGTCTCCTTTTTGGTGGGGTCTTTTCTGGTTTGGGGATCAAGGTACTGCTGGCCTTATAGAACAAGTTTGGAAGTTTTCCTTCCATTTCTGTTTTTTGAAATAGCTTCAGAAGAATAGGTATTAGTTCTTTAAATGTTTGGTAGAATTCATGTGGGAAGACACATCGCCTGGACTCTTGAGGAAATTTTTGATTACTGCTCAATTTCCTTGCTTGTTACAGTTATGTTCAGTTTTTCTGTTTCTATTTCAGTTCTTGGTAGTTTACATGTTTCTAGGAGTGTATCCATTTCTTCCAGATTGCCTAATATGTTGGTATATAGTTGCTCATAATATATTTTATAATTGTTTTTATTTCTTTGGTGTCTGTTGTGATCTCTCCTCTTTCATTCATGATTTTATTAATTTGGGTCCTTTCTCTTTTCTTTTTGATTCAGCTATGGGTTTGTTGATCTTACTAATCTTTCAGAGAACCAGCTCCTAGTTTTGTTGATATGTTCTGCTGTTCTTTTGGTTTCTATTTCATTGACTTCTGATCTAATCTTTATTAATTCTGGTCTCCAGTTTGGTTTGGGCTTTATTTGCTGTTCTTTCTCCAGCTCCTTTAAGTGTAAGGTTAGCTTGTGTATTTAAGACTTTTCTTCTTTCTTGTGAAAGGTTTATATTGCTATTTCCTTTCCTCTTAGGACCACATTTTCTGCATCCCAAAGGTTTTGAACAGTTGTGTTTTCATCGTTGCCATGAATTTTTAAAATTCTTTAATATCCTGGTTGACCCATTCATTCTGTAGCAGGATGTTAACCTCCAGGTGTTTGACTTCCTTCCAAATTTTTCTTGGAATTCATTTTTTTTCTTTTTTGGGGTTATTGTCATTTATTCCAGAAAAAAAAATGAAGAAATAGAAAAACAACAACAAAAAAGAAAAAAAAAAAGCAAAAGAAAATAACTAGCTCCTCGGTCTGTTTTGTTTTGCTTGTTAAAAGAATCTAGAATCCAGAAGAAAAAAATAAAATGAAATCAAAGTGTGCAAATATATACACACACTTATGGAGTATACAAATAATAATAATAAAAGGACTTGGAAAATAGGAAAAAATGAAAAAATAAAGAACAGAAGTAAAAAGGAAGCTCGATTCTATTTCCGTTAGAGCTGAAGCTTTGCAGCACTCTCTGATCAATAAACTTGGTGAGACCTGGCTGTCTGTTCTAGTCCTCTGGGGGAGGGACCTGCTGGGCTGATACTCAGCCATCTTGTTTCAGTGGAAATGCCTCTCCAGGATGCTGGGTGGGCAGGGTTAGGTGTACCAGGCTCCAGCCTCCACTATGTGTCTCTGTTCTCTAGCCTGGGAGCTAAAACTTCAAGCTCTTCACTGAACTTTTAAAGAAGAGGAATCAGTTGACCTATTTGTGACCCTGGTTTCCATCTGAACCCTGCACTCACCCTGCCCATGTTCAAGCCTTTTTATCTTTGGCATGTGACTGAGTTTCAAAAGTCTGAATTTAAAAAAAAAAAAAAAAAATCAAATTTTAGGGACTCCTGTGCTGTGGACCTGTCCTGGTCAGGTTGGGTTTGAGGGGAGATGTTAAAAATTATGAAAGGTTGGATTTGAAAGGTTTTTCTATTATAGTATTAATTTGAAGGATACATTTGTTTTGGTTTTGTACTTCCTTCATATTTAAAGCTTGTACTTTGTTCCTTTGCTTTCCATTTTGTATATTGCTAGAAGGTAAGAGGCAAGAGAGGAGGACTGTTTTGGTTATGTTAACTTGTAAACTTTTATCTCCCTAGCACCTAGAATAGTCTGGCCCATCACTGGTGTTGGGATTCTAGGGAGCTCACTTAATAACATTTTTCCAGATTGCAGCTCTGAAAGGGAAAGAAAGGTGAATGGGTATAGATATCAGTCATTTTATTGGCTGATTTGTTGGAGAACGTGGTTTTGGTATGGAGAAAATAAATGTTGTATTCAGAACTAAGCAGCTATGTCCAAATAATGTGGAAAGGGTTGAGAAATCTTAACGTTTAGCAGTGCTCTAAAAATATTAAGTAGTGTGTGTCCCTTTTTTCCTCTTTGGCACAGTCTCCGTGCCACTAGTTAAATTATTGCTGATTCATCTGTGTATTATACTTACAAATCTTTTCTAAATCCATCTCGTGAGAGTTGAGGAAGAGTTCACTTGGTTATAAGATTAAGGGTCACAGTTGGTTTCGCTAAAGATTTTGTAGGCCTTCTTCATGATCACATTTTGTTCACTGAATATCATCTCATATCTCACTTGAGTTTTTACAATGATCCTCAAATCATTCATGTTTGAATTATAGACTGTTTGGGGCACTTTTATTTTTTATTGCTTTATATGTGATTTTCCAAACTGCATTTCCACAAACTCACAAATTCTTTTTTGTATGCTTTAATACTTTTTTGTTGAATTTATGAAATTATTTTTTGTCATATCATTTCCTTTGTAGTCTTTACCAGTAACATAGATTTCATAGGTTGTGGGTGGGCTTGTCTTTCACAGCGTTGAATGATTTTTACTTAATCCTTTTCTCTTTAGCTCATTTTAAGCCTGTCAGCAATATTAATGAGTGGTTTTGCAGCAGTGTCTCTTTTTCTTTTTTGTACCTCGCAGTGTGGTCTCTTTTAAATGATTTTTATTTTATTTTTGGAAGTTTGGGAGCTTTGCCAAGTCATTTTTCCTTCATCCTTATAATTCTGCTTTGAAGTTCTATTTTTATTTATTTATTTGACACAGAGAGAGGGGGCGGGGAGGGAGAGCAGTAGGCAGAGGGCTAAGGAAAAGGAGGCTCCCTACTGAGTAGGGAGCCTGACTCGGGGCTTGATTCCAGGATTCTGGGATCATGACCTAGCTGAAGGCCGATGTTTAATAGACTGAGCCACCCAGGCTCTCCTGTTTTTAAGGTTTTTAATAACTTGTTGTTTATCCATTACTAAAATTATTAGATAATTCTTAAATGTTTTGCTCCGAGGCAAAGGATTCTTTGAGTATTAATATTCATTTATTTTTTCACTCCTTCCTCTTCCTTTTTAATAGTTAACTGTGTTAGTTATTTTTCTCATGCCATTTTCATTGAGTTGGACTCTCCTTAAACCCTATGAATTCATGATTGTAGTTTGCAGAGAAATACATGTCAGGACCTCTTCCTGGCTCAAAATGATGACTGTTTAACACAGGACATTTCAAAAGTTTGTGAGATCTAGCTGGCATTTTTGATAATCTAAGAAAATATCAGCTATCAAGAAGCTGCTTTTTTATTTACGGTTTTCATCCACTCATGACCTTTGATGTGTACCACTTGGAAACATGGACAAAACACAGTGATACCTACCTAGTCTTCCTTCCCACTCACAGGACTTTCCTGTTTCATGTGTATAGGGATTCCCTACATATCCCTATATTTTCTTTGAAGAAAAATTCTAAAGGTAAAACATAATTTTACATTTCAATCTAAATTTGCCTTGAAGGCAAAACCTAACATAATCCCCTCACCAATGTGATAGTAGCTTCCCTAGATTTTCCCTTCTCCCCTTGGATTCTCCCATATGTTCTGGATAACTCAGTTGGTAAACCATATTTTATAGAGTATAATTTAGGCATTGTTGAGTGTCCTGGATGTTGGTACCTTTCCCGTTACCAGATCCTCGCATTAATATATGGTTTCTCTTTCAGATCTGAATCAAAGCTCTGTCTTCTTCACTGGGTGACTCAGAGGAAAAGAAGAGGATACGGTGCCCAGAATCCTGCTTTCGCCTCTCCAGACATTTAGACCATTCTCCAGTTCCTCAGGCCCTTCAGCTCACCCAAGAAGTCAGAAGGTTCCATTTCTTCATCACAGTACATGCATACAGCCGGCAGAGAGCAAAGTTTGGTTATCACCTTGGCACTGCTTAGCTCTGTGATGCTGAAGACATTCTCATTTCTGTGCATTACAGAAGAGATTCAGATTTCCAGGTGTGGACCAGTGTCCAGGGGAGGGGTGTTCTCACTGTGTGAAGGGCAAGTACCTCAAAGCTCAGGGAAAAGGCGGGTGTTGGAGGGGTGTGGAGCCATAGGGCCCAGTCCAAGTGCCCTACAAGGGAAAATACTGGTACAAGAGCTGAGGGCACAGTTGGAACAGGGTATCCACCCATCTTCTGGCCTTGGAGCCGTGGAGGAGGACAGCAAGGGGCCAGGTGTGAAACTATGGGTGCTCTCATCAGCTTTGGAGATGAATGTCGGTTTTCTTCCTTTGCAGAGTTTGTAAGCTTTGGAAGATGCTAGTTGAGCATTCTGCACTATGGAGACATGTACCTGACACCTTACAGGGTATGTATGTATGGACTTGTATTTGGGAAAATGCTTGAGGGTATCTGCTTTATATGGATGGCAGTTTTTACATAGAACCCATGCTGGCCTTCTCAGAGAGTATATATATGGTGGCTCGTTGGAGCTTTGATACTGTTCAAGAGCCCTGAACATTAATCATTCCGCCGTCCAATTCAAGTTGAAGTCAGTAGATTTTAGTCCTCTAAGCATGATAACGTTTGGTTATTCAGGTAAGGCTTCTCTCCTGGCGATACATGGGATCAGGGTTCTTGTCACTGAGTGTGGGATGCTACTCAGTGTGGGAGCTGAGGCATAAATCTGAAATCATTCCAGCTTTGATTAAAGGAAGTTGGGAAGAGGTGACCCCACCTGACTAGAGTTGCACGTTGCACACTTGAGGAAACTCCCAGTCACCAAAACTCCCCCAATTCCTGACAAATCTGGAGCTGCACAACTCTAAAATTTCAAAGTCATGGATCTTCGAGGAAAATGACCACTCTTCACTCCTCTTCTAACACAACTGTGGCTTGGAAGCTCTTACGGCCTTCAGTGACAGGCAGGTGGTGACCTTGTCTAGGCTGAAGGCTCTGTATTTTCTGGAAGTGGTGGACATTTCCTTAAGTGTCAGATAAGGGGCTTATGATAGACCCTCTGTGAAGTTGATAGATTCCAGAACCTAAAACTGGTGAACTCCTTCTCAGCAGATGAATTCCTACAGGCAGTAGTCCAGCATATTCAGAAGCTTTGGAAACTCAGTATGAGAGTGAATGGTCTCACAACCCAAGTATTGTCTCAACTAGAAAGGATGGATTCACTGCAGCCATTTGAGCCAAGTACTCCAGTGCTGAAGATTTCCCCTCTGCCCCTCACATCTTCTCTGTTTGACTAAGATGCCCAGACCTTAAACCCTCAAGATCCTGGAAGTCCATACCCCATGTTGGGAGAGAGGATGCCAAGGCTCTTCTGCAGAAAGTTCTGCTCCACTCTCTGGTCCCCTTTAATCCAGCCCAAACTCATCTATAGAAGGGTGGGCGTGAAGCCACAAAATGACTCAGTCCCACTTCTCACCACCCTTACTTATATACCCTGCATCCTTTTTTATCCTTTCCCTGCCTGCCAAATCGTTTATCCTCTGGAGTTGCTATTTTTCAGAGGCATTTGAAACCATGAAAAGACATAACTCATCATAAACTGATGATTTGAACCAGATAAATATGAGCCAGTTAATGATATGCTCTCTGGGTTTTGTCCGGTCACGTGAATCCTATCCAGACTGGTTTCCTGAGAGGAAAGGTGAAGATGATAAAGGGTCTTCTGAGTAAATGGCAAGACCACAAGTGAATACCTGTCACCCAATATGGGGTCAGTATTGATGGTGTGTTGGGGCAGATGGCTTCTTCGCCTGTGAGTCATCCACAGACTTCGTACCCAGCGGGGCTGGAAGATGTGAGCGAGTTCAAGAGAACCTTTAGGCTTACAGTTTGGGAATGGACACCTCTGCTGGAATGGGAGTTCTGGGCTGGGGACCACAGTGCTAACTTTTGCAGAAATGTGAAATACTTTTTAAACACATGTATTTGTTTTAGAAATCATAAAGCATGTTATTTTTAAGGTAATGTTCTCAATTTTAAGTCAGATATACAAGATTCCGTATGAATCTAAACGATGGAGGAAGTTAGTGTTCTCTCAAGATAATGCTAACGGAGGCAAGAGTCCACATTCTGCGGTCCTTTTGGAAAGGGAAACATACAGGTCGGTGGCTTCTGGCAGTCATGCAGTAGTTAACTGACTCTCTGAAACAGACAAAGTCTTGATTTATATCATTTGCTGATTTCCTTGTATACTGACAAAACTCAAGCTAACAAGGGCGTACCATCCAGTTTACAAAACCCCTGAATATTTTATAAGCAACTCTTGGGAACCAGTGCATGCCAAGTCAAGCTTAACTACCAGAGGGACTGAAGGAACATACTAAAAAATTAGTAACTCTCCTTTGTTGCTCCAGGATAGGAGTATAATGGTAGAACTGAGAAAGAACTGGGATGTTCTGTCTTACCTTTTAAGGAAGCCAATCAGGGTAGCTCCTCCTACCTCTGCCTCAGTGACTTCTTGAGTGGACCCCACTTCCTATAGTTGGGAGGAATAGAGTCCAGAAACAGGAGCCTGCTGCCTTCTGAAACCAGCTGTCACAGCTGTTCCTTTTGCTTGAGAAGGGATGAACTACAAGAGTCTTCTCTGCTGCCCAAGGTAGATCTCAGTGATGGTGAAAGAAGTTCCAGGATTCTGCACAATCAGGACCTGGGGGAAAACCCTGGTTGTGGATGACTTTCTTGCTGCAGTATTAGCATCATGCCTCTTGAGTTAGGTGGATCTAGCATTGATTCATTCTTGATGGAATTCTGTGATGCTGCCACAGCAGGTCTCCACAGTTGGAGTGGCCCAGCCTCTTCAACCCTTACATGTTTCTCTAAGTTATTTTCCCCCTCGGTCACTAGGTATGGATCATGTAGGCTTCTTTGGACATATTCTATGTTCCACAGCTTAATGACTGGAAATTTCCCTGATGCATCATGAAGGTGCTTGAGAACGGGTGGACGGTAGTCCAAATCAGACTTTAAGTAAAAGTGAACACTATGGTCAGTTTAAATTCAGCAAAGGAGAAGTTACTGGATGGCTGATCTAAGGAAGAATGATGCAGCTATTTCTTTTAATTACAAGTTATTTGTCTGAACAATAGGAAGAAAATATCCTAAACCCAGACAGTGCCATTACCTAGCTCAAACAAAGAAAAGGTGGGCTCTAGTCCCATGCCAGTATACACTCCAGACTCCAGGGCTGTGAAAAGGAGGAACTGTCAGAGGGAAATGTAATACAAGTCCCAAATATGAAAAGAGCTTACTTGGACACTTGAGCACCTCACAGCTTTTTTCCAGTGCTGGCTTGGAAGCAGTGGCCTGGAAGTGGGGAACTGAACAGAGAGTTGACATTTCTTGGATAGTTGGCTTCTCTCTGCCTCCTTTTACTGCATCTAGGAAGTAAGAATAACATGAAGCCCTCACTCATTTCAGTCTAAAGCTGCTGATTCTGTGGGACTCCCCAACGAAGACATTCACCACCAGTTTTTACTGTGACGTGCATGACACGTGCTTTACAGAACGTGTGCCACAGTTCTTCATAATAACGGAAGTCATAACACATTACTATTTTGTGAGGCTGACTGGGCATATTTAGAGTTCACAGAATTTTACCTGGTGTCCATTAAACCTCCAGTTAAGATTTATTGATACGTTTCCCAGGGCATCGAATAAAGGTCAGTTGCTAGAAATTTTATTTAGTAAAGTATATATAGATTGATGAGAAATATAATAATTGATCTAGCAATGCAACAGATTGATCCAAGTGACTTGAATTACCTGAAATATGGGCAGTTGCTCTCGATCTTCTTAATACAATAGATCTTTTGGAACTCTGAAGGCATTACTGTAGCAGTAATGCTGGCACAGTAACATTTATTTATTGACTATAAGATAACAGCAAGAACAGAATTTGCATCTACCTAATTTGACCAAGGAAATTTGCTTTTCATAGAAATAACAGCTGTGGGGTGCCTGGGTGGCTCACTCAGTTAAGCATCTGCTTTCAGCTCAGGTCATGATCCCAGGGTCCTGGGATTGAGTCCTGCATCAGGCTCCCTGCTCAGTGGGGAAACTACTTCTCCCTCTGCCTCTGCTGCTGCCACTCCCCCTGCTTGTGCTCTGTCAAATAAAATCTTAAAAAAAAAAAAAAAAAAACCCACAAAAGAACAATATAACATACTAATTTGTGTGTTGTAGCTTTTTTAAAAGATTTTGTTTATTATTTGACAGAGACACAGCAAGAGAGGGAACACAAGCAGGGGGAGTGGGAGAGGGAGAAGCAGGCTTCCTGCCGAGCAAGGAGCCCGGTATGGGGCTTGACTGAGCCACCCAGGCGCCCCCTAATTTGTGTTTTTAAAAACAGTTTTACTAAAACCAGATTTAAAAGTTATACTTGTATTGAGCTCTCTAGAGAATGTTCCAGCATTTATATTTACTTGTCTGTAGAAAACGCTTTCTGGATGATAAGTCATCACTGTGTAATAGTAAATCTTTACTTAAATATTTCTGCATCTAAAAAAACAAAGCCCAAGAATTTCCACGGTAAAACATTCAGGAGAATTTGCTCTTGTTTATCCAGCATTCCCTCCCAGGTGGCACTGCGTCATCATATATACAAGGCAGCTCCACAGAATATGGGGATAGATTCTCCAGTTATACTGTAGTATGAAGGGGACCGTCTGCGCATGTGGGCCGCAGAGGTCATCCGCCTGTGCGGTAGCGAGGTACCTCCACCAGTCTCCCCACCACTTTCTGAGGATCACTTGATTGACAGCAGCTTTAAGACAGCTCTGTAGATCCTAGGAAGACCTCTGACCTTAAGTCCATTCAGGTATTTCTTGTACTTAAGTCAGTTTACAAACCAAACCCAATTCCATTGAATTGGAGGAGGGAAAAAAACCAAACCAAACAAACCCTCACAAATTCTCAAAAGACGACTTGTCACTAGCTCAGAAGCAGGCTAGTCTACTAGATGGCAAAACCCTGGATCCTGAGCCTGCACTCCGGAGGCCTTCATTGTTAAACTGTTGTAGTATAGAAAATTGTAGTATAGAAAGTAGTTGCATCACTTTGTGTTTCAGTTAGAAGATTAAAATTCGCTTCTGGTAGAAGGCTGAGCAAGAATAGTGCCACCAGAGCACTAAGGTTTGGCCCTACATTTGATGGATCTAAAACAGAGAGGACTTTGTTTCAATGGTAAATTACTCTTACACTGCTTTTTTACATCCATCGAATCTCTGTATCCCATACAGTTTAAAGAGACTCTAGTACAGTGCTGAGCCTGAGACAGATGTTATCCTTGCTCCCCTCAGTTCACACAGTCCAGAGGAGGAGACAGTCAAGCTAGCTGTTGTAGGGAAGTGT